TGGGCGGAGGCGATTAACACGGCGTGCTACGTTCAGAATCGCGTGATGATCAACAAAGCCAAAATGAAGACATCGTACGAAATTCTATATAGACACAAGCCATCTGTCAGCCATTTCCGAGTGTTTGGATGCCCTTGCACCCTTCTCCACTTGGAATCCAACCCTAAATTCAATGCAAAAGCTGATGATTTTTATTTTGTTGGATATGCTGCTCGAACTGCATACAAGGTTTATAATAAGAAGACAAAACAGATTGTGGAGTCTTTCGATGTTCGTTGGCTTGAAGATAATGAGACAGACGCTAGAGTGGGTCCAAATTGGCTATTTGATTACACATCTCTTTTTAAATCCTTCAATGTGTCGTCGGATAATCAACTAGGGTCTATGTCTAGTTCGAAGATCATTATTGAAGATGAAGAGGAAGAAGTTGTCTACAGACCACCACTGGTTTCTTCTGATCCTCCAATGATGCCCTCTGTTCACATTGATTCTTCAGAGTCCTCTCCTCAACAACCTTCTCCTGATGCTGTTACTACTCCTCTAACTCCGGTGGAAAGAGAGTCCATGAATCAAGAGACTTCCACTGTAACTTCAAATCTGATGGAACTTGTCTTTCTGAATGAATTGCTGAAGAGTTTATAGCAGATATGAAAAACGAACCTAGTTCATACACCATGGATCATACAACAAATGATGGATCAGTCAACATCCACAATCTTCCAGTATGTATCAATAACATCAGCTACGAGATCCTTGCACGCATTCAGCGCGACCATCCAATAGAGAACGTCATTGGCCAGCTGGGCGATGGTGTTCAAACGCGAAGTCAAAGTGGAGAAGATGAATACATGTCTCTACTCTTGCTTCATCTCTTAGATAGAGCCCAAAAATGTCGAAATGGCTCTGAATGAGCCCAATTGGGTTGATGCCATGCATGATGAACTCAATCAGTTCGAGAAGCTCGGGGTTTGGAAGTTGGTGGAGTCGCCAAAAGGAAAGAAATCTCTTGATACCAAATGGGTATTTCGGAACAAGCAATACGATTCAGGTGTTATTGTGCGTAACAAGGCGAGATTAGTGGTTCGCGGGTTTCGCCAAATTAAGGGTCTTGATTATACGGAGGTTTATGCTCCGGTGGCGCGCTTGGAAGCTATTCGTATCTTCCTTGCATGTTCTTCCTATATGAACTTTGCTGTATACCAAATGGACGTCAAGATGGATTTCTTATACAGCAAGGTCAACGAGAAGATTTATGTTGACCAACCACCCGGTTTCATTAACTCAAAGCTTCCCAACCATGTCTACAAGTTAGAAAATGCTTTGTATGGGCTGCATCAAGCTCCTAGAGCTTGGTATGCTACCCTAACTCAGCATTTGCTCAAACACGGCTATTCCTGAGGCACTATTGATAAAACCTTTTTTATCAAACATGTCGGTCTGGATCAAATTCTTGTTCAAATCTATGTGGACGACATTATATTCAGGTCGACAAGCCAACAACTTTGCAAAGAGTTCGAAGACGTGATGAAGAAGCGGTTCCAAATGAGTTCGCTTGCGGAAATGACCACGTTTTTGGGGCTTCAGGTCCAATAATCTTCAACCGGAATCCTTATTCACCAAGAAAAGTATGTGGATGATGTGCTGGAGAAGTTCGGGTTCCGAGATGCGAAACCTGCTCTTACACCCATGGCGGAGAGACCTTTACTGGCTCATGATCTTGAAGGTGAATCCGTAGATCAGACGTAGTATCGATCAATGATCGGATCACTCATGTATCTGACTGCTAGTCACCCATATGTAATGTTTGTGGTCTGTCAATGCACTCGCTACCAGGCTAATCCTAAACTTTCTCATCTCATTGCTGTTAAACAGATTTTTCGGTACCTGAAAGGTTGCCCAAAACTAGGTCTTTGGTATCCGAAAAATATAGAATTTGGCATTTATGCTTTTGCAGACAGCAACTATGGAGGGTGCGAGGTTGATAAAAAATCGACTTCAGGAGGATGCCAATTTCTGGGAGATAGATTGGTCTCATGGCTCTGCAAGAAGCAACATACCGTCTCAACCTCAACAGCAGAAGTGAAGTACGCCGTTGCATCTACCTGTTGTTCTAAAGTGATATGGATCCAACATCAACTGTTGGACTATGGTTTGAATTTTCAAGAAACCCCTATATTCTTTGATAATGAGGTTGCGATCCAAATTGTCAAAAATCTGGACCAGCACTAAAAAACCAAGCACATCGACATCAAAATTCATTTCATCAGAGAATGCTATGAGCGCTTGCTCATTCGGCTAGAACATGTCCGCTTTGATAATAATGTAGCGGATCTGTTCACCAAGCCATTTAACAAAGCTCGATTCGATGTGCTGGTTAATTTTCTGAAAATGATTCGCTTTGAGGATTAATTTTTTTTGTTGTTTAGTTTAGTTTAAATTTGCGCATATTTTTTTCTCTCTATTCTATGCACAAATTTAGGGGGAGAAAAATCCAAAAACATTAAAAAGAATTAAAAATCCAAAAACATTCAAAAATCACAAATACAAAAACATTAGAAAAAAAATCAAAATATTTGTGTTCGATAATATGTTTTGGGAGGTGATATCGACAAGTGATAACGGGCAATCTGAGTCTGTGTAAAGTACCAAAGCTGAATTGTCTAGGCTCTATGTTCGATGCGCTAGTAGGCATGAAGGACTTAAATGGACTTGACTAGGGAAAGATGAACTTAAGAAATCAAATGACTTAACAAATCTTGACCTAGATAGATCCGTTTAGCCTGACAATACGATGCTTGGATAGTTTGAGCAGGGAGATATACATGAGAATCCACCAGTCACACTAAAGAACCCGTATCTAGCACTGTAGTTTTACTTCTCCTCGATGTACGGATTCTGTCCTTAATTCCGGTATTGATGGAGCGACTGGGGAATTCCGATAAAGTAGGTCTGTAGAAAATTATTTTCTTTCTTTCTTACTGTTAGTCATATGTTGCCTCCTTTACGTGATTGGAAGAGATCCGACCTAGACTACAACATATGCAAATCTATTTCTCTGTATATTATATCTATGAAAATCTTCTTATTTGTTAGCCATATGTTGTCTCCTTTGTGTGATTAACAATCCGACCTGGTACACAGCATATGCAACCTTCTACTTCTCAATTCCTCTAAAAACTATAATTAATAATAATCTGAATCTATCTTTTCTATGAATAATAGTCTGTTCACCTAAAGTAAGGAGTATCTCAGAAGTTCTTGATTATTGGGGTACATCAGGAAGTGGGAAACATGTTCTAGTACATCTAAAATTGAACAATTATTGATTGTCTGTAGATCTCGCTGCTCAATTTAGGTGGACAACAATATTCTTGGTCATCGTCAAATGAATGGTCCTTAGGAAATTTTATCTAAGAACTTAGGATCAACTAGTCTTGTCACTTATAGCGTGTCCAAAATTTGTCACAATTCTTCATGTTTAAGTGGACCACAATACCCACGATCGACCATATCTATTCATGAAGGGGAAGGAACTGACAAATGGATTACGATTGTCCAACAACTTTGAGCCCACATCACAAAAGGATAAATAATTTAGAGGATTAAAATTAGAATTATTTTTTATTATTATTAGAATTTTCATTTTATTTTATTTTTATTTTTATCTTATTTTATTTTATTTTATGTTAAAATTTTTAGGAATAATAAATTTTAAATTTTTTAATCCTCAAAATGATTTATTTTTTGAAAAGGTTTGAGTATTGGGCTTGAATTTTGAATATTAAAAGAAAAAGAGGGGAAAGCCCATTTAAAAGGAGAGTATATATATGTGTGTGCAGTTCTTTTGTTGCCACTGTTTACCATTTTGAAATTGTTCAACCGGACACGGCTTCTTTCTCTCTAAAAATCGTCAATATGCATTGTTCTTCTTGAAATTGAAGCTTCATATCGGTAATAATTGCAAAAACGACTCCCATAATACATCTTTAATGCAAAATCGATCAAAAACTGGTGTTTAATCGAGGATTTTGTTTTTCGACTGTGTGTGCGACCGCACACGCTGTGTGCGGTTGGACCGTGTGTGGCTACACAAACTGGTGTGTGGCTAGTGACATGTGCGGCTCCACACACTTCTTGTGTAATGAATCTCGTGCGCGGCTGCACACATCCACGTGTGCGGTTGCATGATTTCTCATGTGAGGCTGCACACTTCATTGTGTGTGACCAATCATGAACAATTAAAATAAGTATGGTACGTTAAAATTATTTTTACCTTAATATGTGCATGTGTTTCGTTTCAGATTAAGAATGGGAGTTCTAGAATTCGCAAAAGTTCACAACTCAGCTATCTTTCTTGAAAATCCTCTAGCAGCTCACAATGATCTAAAATTCATTGTTGAAGGACTGAAGAAATGTTGTCTGGTTCATCCATTAACAACCAGCCCGACAATTTATCAGAATATGATCAAAGATTTCTGGAGAAGTGCAGTCGTGAAGAAATATGACAAAAAAGAAAAGTACCTTGAAGCCACTATACAAGGAAAGAAGATTCAAGTTTCAGAAATTATTATTCGAGAATCACTTCAAATTGATGACAGACTAGAATATTCAATGGAAATTGATGTGCATCAAACTCAAAATGTTCTAGACCACATGGGGTATGAGGGAACATTTCCTCCTACCATCAAGAAACTGCTTCCTCCCTGCTGGAAATATTTAGCTCATGTATTTGTGAGCTGTATTTCTAGTAGGAGATCTGGTCCGAACGAAATCTCTCTAGTAAACACAGGAGCCATCACAACTTTGGCTTCGGGATTTGAGTTTAATTTTTCAAGTTTATCCTGCACGAAGTGGTTCTGAATATTGAGGGAAACAAGAGAGACAAAATTTTGATGTACCTAAGATTTCTTCAGATTATTTTCAATGCCATGCATCCTAAGTTTCGAAGAGGAAATGAAACACTAGATCTTAAATCTGTCGGTCCAAGTGCATTTGGTTTAATGAAGCAGAAAAGAGGAGGTAAGTTTGTTTTTGAAGGGAAATTTCCCTTAATAAAATTTGGAATTTTTGCTGAAGATAGTAATTAGTTAGACTCGGAAGATCAATCTATTCCTACAGAGACTAAAGACGTTGTGATTTCAACTTCTAAGACGGAAATTGAAGGGGTTCATGTTTCTCCTATAGTTGTAGTGGTTGAGGATCATGATCAGCTACATCATGTGGAAGTTGAAACACAATCTATCCATGAAGAAGATGATGAAGATCTTAATGATGATGTGGAGTTTTTGAAAGAGATAGATTTTACCGGGATCAATGATGATATCCCTACAAACATTGAACTCGATCTTGACGATGACGAGTTTGGTCCATTTCCGGGGTTTGACAGTGACTGTTTTAGAAAGGTCAATGAAGATGCTTCTTCAGCAATCAAGACTGGGGAAGACAGTAATGTTCTCAAGATTTTGCTCTCCTCTTCCAAGCCTTTGGAGATTTCTTCAGGTCAAAGAGATGTGAATTCAAAGATTCTTCCCCGTGTTTCAACTGTCTCTACTTCTGCTCCGCTTGTTGTTGAATCATCTCAGCCCCAAACCTCCCAGTCTTCCTTGGAAAGAAGTCAATCAAATACGAGTTTGGAGGTGCCCATTGTCATCCATGCACCTCAGAATATTCTCCTAATAGAACCTCACTGGATGAAGCCTCAATCAGATTGGCTAAGCACCTTGCTCAACACAGTCCAACCTCTTCCTCTCGTGGCAAAGGTATATCTTTCAGAGAAGGACATTCAGGTGATGACAAGTCTACTATGTTAGAACTTTGAGAAGAGATTGTTGTTCTCAGGAAAGAACTTATTGAAAAGAACATTCAACTAGAGCAACTCGCTTCTCACGTAGAAGAGCTTAAAGAAAGGGATGAAGAGAAGTCAAAACAGATTAAGGATCTGTAGAAGAATCTTGGCTCTGTGACTGCTTTCTACTTTAATTTGAAGAACGTTCTGTATGATGCTTTCAGGGATAAAGTTAATGCGTTATTTCAGCATCCGCACAGAATTGAGGATCCTCCCATAGCCCCCACACAATCTACTTCTGTCAACCTTCCAGTTGATCCACATCCTCCTAGAACAACTACAGTTGTCAATAGATTTGAGAAAGAACCCGAAGGCAGCAGAGCCCGCATCACAATCAAACAGGGAAAGAGGACTATTATGGCTAACAAAAGAGAAGGGTTACTCTTCATGAAAAATTCAAACGAGAATCACAAAGCCAAAGACCCTATGCTAATAGTGACTGATCTCAAAAAGAGAAAATTTGGTGATGAGTTCGGAGATAGATCTGGAATTCGAATGTGGGCCTTTGATCCCGAGTCAGGCATGTGGGTTTTGAAAAGGAATTCAGGAATTCCTGAGTACTACAAGAGCACACATGATTTTAACTCGTGGACCCAAGTGGATGTTGTTGAACCTTTGAGAGCCTTATTCCATAATCCCTCTGAAGATCCCAGCACGACAAACTTCAAAAGATTTCTTGATAGACAGGTCAAAGAAAACTTTCCAAAAATGAAGACTACAAGAGCTTTATATAGAAAAGATAAAGATATTCTAGATCCTGAATCAGGCGAGCCTATGAAGATTATTCTTTGGCTTGCGACTAAACAGTAGAAGGAAATTCCTATTCCTCAACACTTCTGTGAGGGATACCTTGATAATATGGAATTCTGGGCTAACGATGATGAAACTGCCACTACTGCAAAAAATTCAAGGATAGAGAACAAGTCTTGAGGCTGATAAGTGCTAAAGAACTTCTAAGGTTCGGGGAACGGGATATCCGCACTCTTTCTCGTCACCAGATTATATGTAGAAGGGATTTCATGGAGGCGGCTTCAAAAGAGTTCACTGGAATGGTCATCACCATCATAAATGGAAGACTGTGGATGGGTTCCTTGGGAAAGTCCGATTTGAAGCTGTTTGAAAAGCCAACAGATTAAAAATCAAGTCTATGCTAGCCTCAAACCAAGGGGGAGATTGAAAGACTATATTATTGTGGTTTGGGCTAGGCATTCTTCCTGTATAGATCTTGGTAGGGTGGTAGTGCATGTAGTATAGTGGTGTTTTGGCTTAGACTTTGTATATGTGCAGCCACACACGTGTGTGCGGCTGTACACAATGTATGCAGCCACACATGTGTGTACAGCTACACTCATGTGTGCTGGTGTGGGTAGTATTTAAAGGGGCTGTCAGTGTGTCAGATGTACTAATGGACAGTGACGTATGTGTGTGTACTTTCAAGGTGTACCTAACATTTATGAGCAATAGATGTGTGCATGCTTGATGTTATTTCTCTTCTACTCCTTCTACACTCTATTTTCATTGTTATTACTTCACTGATTACTGATTTGGATCTATAGTTTGGGGACTGACAAATATATATATATATATATATATATATATATATATATATATATGTGTGTGTGTGTGTGTGTGTGTGTCTATATATATACATATATATACACACACACACACATACACATAAGTGCTCCTCGTGTTGCACCTTTGTCTTAGAGAAGACCAAAATATCACTATAAACACGATTACATAATTGAGCATGGCTCTACACACTTATTTCATGAAATCCATGAACACGACATGTGCATTACTAAGCCCAAATTGCATCACTATGAACATATAATGG